GAGTCTTCAGCATTTTCTATGTATGTGATCATGTCATTTGCAAATAGAGATAGTTTGACATCCTTCTTTCCAATTTGCCTTCTATTGCTTTCTCTTGTCTTATTGCACTGGCTAGAACTTCCAGTAATATGTTGAATAAGAGTGGAGAAAGTGAGCATTCTTGTCTTGTTTCAGATCTCCAGAGGAAAAGCCTCCATTTTGTGTCTATTCAGTATGATATTAGCTGTGGGCTTGTCGTATATGGCCTTTATGGTGTTGTCGTACATTCCTTTTATACCTAATTTGTTGAGTGTTTTTATCATGAAGTGGTGTTGGATTTTATCAAATGCCTTTTCTGTATCTATTGAAATGATCATATGATTTTTTCCTTCATTCTGTTGACGTGGTGTATCATATTTATTGATTTGTGTATCTTGAACCATCCTTGCATTCCTGGGATGAATCTCACTTGATCATGGTGAATGATCTTTTTAATGTGTTGTTGGATTCTGTTTGATAGTATTGTATTTTATTTAAGATCTTCACATATGTGTTTCTTAGGATATTGGTCTGTAGTTTTCTTTTTTAGTTGTGCCTTTTTCTGGTTTTGTTATAAGTTTAATGTTGACTTTGTAAAATGACTGTGGTAGTATTCCCTCCTCTTCAATTTTTTGGAAGAATTTGAGAAGAATTGGTAATAGTACTTCTTTAAATATTTGCTAGAATTCACAGCAAAGCCACCTGGTTTTGGAGTTTTCTTTGTTGGGACAATTTTTATTACTGCTTCAATCTCATTACTTGGTATTGGTCTGCTTATGTTTTCTCTACTTCTTCATAATTCAACCTTGGTAAGTTGTAAGTGTCCACAAATTTAACCATTTCTTCTAGGTTTTCCAGTTTGTTCACATATAGCTGTTCATAGTAGTCTCGTGATTCTTTGCATTTCTGTAGTATCAGTTGTAATATTCCCTTTTCCATTTTTGATTTTATTTATTTGAGTCTTCTGTCTTTTTTTCTTCATTAGTCTAGGTAAAGGTTTATCAATTTTGTTTATGTTTTTGAAAAAACAACTTTTTTTCACCCATCTTTTGTATTTTTTTCTAATTAATTTCTGCTCTGATCTTTGTTATTTCTCTCCTTCTACTGATTTTAGGTTTGGTTTGTTTCTGTTTTTTCACCTTCTTGAGGTATAAATTTAGTTTATTTATTTGAAGTCTTTCTTCTTTTTTGATGTAGACATTTATTACTATAAACTTCCCTCTTAGAACTGCTTTCACTGTATCTGATAGGTTCTGGTATATTGTATTTGCATTTTCAGTTGTCTCCAGGAATTTTAAAATTTCCTTTTGATTTCTTTTTTGACTCATTTGTTGTTTGGGAGCACATTATTTAATTTCCATGTATTTGTATAGTTTCTTGTGTCTCTTTTGTTGTTAATTTCTAGTTTTATTCTATTGTGGCCAGACAAGGTAGTTGATATGATTTTAATTTTTTAAAAATTTGTTGAGACTTGTTTTGTGACCTAACATATGGTCTTTTCTAGAGAATGTTCCATGTGCTGCTAAGAAGAATGTGTATTCTACAGTTGTTGGATGAAATGTTCTATATATGTCCATTAGGTCCAATAGGCATGGAGTAGAGATTATTTCTGATGTTTTCTTGTTAATTTTTTGCCTGGATGATCTGTCCTTTGCTGAAAGTGGGGTGTTAAAGTCCACTACTATTATTGTGTTGGAGTCTATTTTTTTGTTAGGTCTAACAGTAATTGCTTTATATAACTGGGTGCTCCAGAGTTGGTTATGTATATATTAAGAATTGTTATATCCTCTTGTTGTATTGATCCCTTTATCATTATATAATGACCTTCCTTATCTTTTTTTACTTTTCTTGGCTTGAAGTCTATTTTGTCTGATATAAGTATAGCTACTCCTGCTCTGTTTTGGTTTCCATATCCATGAAATGTCTTTTTCCATCCCTTCACTTCCAGATAGTGTATGTCTCTCTAGGTGAAGTGAGTTTCTTGTAGGCAGCATATTGTTGGTTCTTTTTTTATAATCCACTGTACCAGTTTGTGTCTTTTATTGGGGAATTTAATCTGTTTACATTTAGAATTAATATAAGGACTTGTTACTACCATTTTGTTCCTTTTTTTCCTGGTTATTTTGTTGATCCTTTTTTCTTCTTTTCCAATCTTATTGTCTTCCTTTGTGATTGAGTGGTTTTATCTAGCAGTGTATTTTGACTTCTTGCTATATATTTTTAATATGTCTCATAAGTTTTTGTGTTATGGTTTTAAAAATTAGTTAAAAAAATTAATATTGGTGGGGCCGGCCCGTGGCTCACTCGGGAGAGTGTGGTGCTGATAACACCAAGGCCATGGGTTCGGATCCCATATAGGGATGGCCGGTTAGCTCACTGGATGAGCGTGGTGCTGACAACACCAAGTCAAGGGTTAAGATCCCCTTACCGGTCATCTTTAAAAAAAAAAAAAAATTAATATTGGTGAGTGCTTTGTAATTTTCTAAATTTCTCCCAAAACAATATGTCAACTTTTCTTAGATGTATGATTCATTTGACAAATGGATCATAACAGATATTCCTCATTCATTCATTTGAAAGATAATAATTGAGTCCTTATTATGTTCCAAACATTTTGTTAGGAGCAAGGAAAATAATAAAACAGAGCCCCTACTTACCCTGTGTTTTATTGTTTTTATACTACCCGCAGCATCTTTACCTGATGTCAAACTCAGTTCTGAGATCTTGAGAGATGGGAAATTAGCCCTTATGCACCTTAATTCTTCATTTGTAAAGTGGAAATAGTAACTCATGCCTTGCAGAGTTATTGTATTAAAATGAGACAAAATGGAAGGCTGTGTTTATTTATGCTTTAGAAATGTACTTAGACCACCTTAAAGAGAAAGTTATTATAAAAAGTAGAACCTACAAGTCATCTGGTACTATGGCAGCTGGAGGTACTAGCAACGAGGTAGTCTCTCTGTGTGTCTACTTGGTTCTTCCATTACCTTGGCTTGGTTTACCCTCTCCTCTGTAAATCTGTTCTCAAGATTGTATTATTATGGTTTGTGTTTCTTCATAACTTTGGTCTATATGCCCACTAATAGCCCTACCTCTATCTTGTGATCTCTCTATGCTTTCTTTCTGCTTCAGCCCTCACAGATAACTATCTAATTAATCTCATTTTTCAGTTCAAATTTCCAGGAGAATCTTTTGTACTGATTCATTCATTTAGGCACTCAGAACATATATGGAGTATATATGGAATACCTACTGTGTCCAGAAAATGTACCCCCATGGTGATCTGGGCCCCACTGTTAGGACCCTCTGAATTCACCCTTATCCTGAAGATGCCTCCTGTTTATTTGGGAGCTGTTAGAAATGCTAGATTTGGCCCCCACTCCAGATCTATAAATCTGGAATGTGCATTTTAACAAGATCCCTGAGTGATTTGTGTGCAAATTCAAGTTTGAGAAGCACCGCTTTAAACTTCTAACTCTCAAAACTAGCCATGCCATTGGAAATAGCTGGGGATTAAAAAATGTCTAGGGACTTTCACTCAGAGGTTCAGGTTTAATTTTTCTGGGGTGCAGCCTAGCATTCAGAAAGTCTCTAGATGGTTCCAATGTGCAGGTAGTTTTGAGAACCACTGAACTAGTCCTGTGTCACCACTGACCAGATGTGCAAGCCTAGACAAATTGCTTGGTTCTCACTAAGCCAGATTTCTCATCTCTTAAGATAAGACAGCCTACCCTGATTACTTCAGAATTGTTCTAAAGGCCAGATGTGATAATACATGTGAAACTGTTTTGAAATATGTGCTTATCAATCTAAGAGTTTCATGCATCTCTCAACCTCTCTAAACCTGTCTTCCCGTATATAATTAGAAATTCAAGATAACAAATGCATATCAAATATGAGGATCTAGGTAAAAATGCATGAAAGATAACATTACCTGGCTAACATTATTTTTAACTGTTATCCCAGTTTACCTATCATATAATTGAGAGTTAGAGAAGTTAAGTAACTCTCTTTAGGCTGTTAAAGAAAAATTATTCCCCAGGCGCTTGATAAAAATGGCAAGGAAGACTTGATTCAAGGCCATTACGATAGGGATCAAGACTACTGCAAGAGAGATTAAATCTAACTTCAAATACAACAGGGACCAGTGGAGATTTATAGCAAGGGGTAAGGGAGAAGATGGAAAATTACTAAGAGGAACTTGGTAGGGGACCAAGGGGGAGGGGGAGGGGAAGTTGACTGGATATCAAGGATGCTGGAAAAGAAGCTTGATTGAACATTAAGGGCGAGGAGACTCATGATAGACTGGCTTAGCAGGAGTCTGTAAAACGGGGCTCAGCAGGCCAAGGATACCTACCTAGTCTAGAAGAAGGCTCAAAAGAGCCTGACTAAACTTTGATCAAGGAGGGACTGTTTGTCGAGGTGGAGTTGGGCTGTAACTGGGTGGGTCTCAATCTACAGACCTCGCTGACGCCTCTTCCCCAGTGTTAGGAAGTACCAGCTAAACCTCTAAGGACGCGATCTGTCTGGCGCTGCACGCTCGTGAGGATTCATCACTGGCCGGCTCTAAGACGACCGGCGGCCTTCCAGCCGCAAATCACATCAACCATAAACCAGAGCGCGGCCTTCCTTATCTACTCGGTGCCGCCTGCGGGCTGCGCGCGGCGAGCTTGCCCGGGCAAGATTCCTGCCCCGGACTCCGAGGGCGGGGCCCGCGCGCACCTGCCGCGCGCCAGTCACAGGCCCGAGCGCAGCGGCGCAAGCGCCACGGCCCTGGGCGGGCCCGGCGCTCCCCAGTCTCCTCTGACCCGTCGGCCTCCCTCCGTCCTGATTGGCCTTGCGGGGATGACGCACGAGGCCGCCTCGGCCTATGGCAGCGGAGCCGGCCGGCCGGGTGGGCGGAAGTGGTGTGGGTGAGATGACCCGGCCGGGCAGGGCAGGCGCGGCGTGGCGCAGAGCTCGGGACGCCCGTTGTTGCCGCTGCTTCGCCTCCCGCCGGGGCCGTGAAGATGGCGCGCTTCGCCCTGACCGTTGTCCGGCAGTAAGTATTGCTGTTTCGCTGTACTGATGGAGTGTGTTTGGGGGTCGGTGAGGGGAACACTGACTGGTCTTCATCCCTTCTCGAGCCCGCTTGCTCCGCCTCGAGGGACAGCGTCGAGGGACAGTTTCCAAGGCGCTTTCGTGTGGGTTCTCAGACTTCGACCCCTCCTACTAGGCCAGTGACCCCGAGTGGGGAAGGCGGGTCATCAGTCCCGTGCTACTCACGAGAAAAGAGGGGTCTAGGGGAGTGAACGATCGAGTTCCCCGCCACCTCTTTGAGCACCGTTTTTGCTCCCCAGTGGGCTCCAAAGAGTGTGCAGAGTTGCTTGTGCACAGCTCATAATTTTGGTCTTGGGCGCCTTCCGCTGTCCCCTCTCCCCGTCTCTGCTGTCTCACCCCCCGTTTCCTCTTCACTTCCCGGGGCAGTCAGTCCCACAGACATATATTTGAGATGTGTTTCGTCACCCCACAGGTTACAGTTCTGGGAGAGAAAAAGGGCCTCCATCCTCTTCTCAGCAGACCGCCGCCCCCCGACTTAATATTTTTATTATTGTAGCAGATTACGTGGAGCTGAATGCTGATATGCCTTTATGCCTCCTGTCGTTTTTCTTCTCAGCACGTTCGCCGCGTGGTAATGGGAAGTGAAATTCAGGGTGGTTAAAAGCACAGATTTTTCAAGCAAGATAAACCTGGGTTAGAATCCGGACTCCAACTAGGAGCCATGCGGCCTGGGCCTTAGCTGATCATCTAAATCTTTACCTCTGCAGTTTCCCGATATACAAACTGGGGGTAATGACAGTGCCTATCTCAGGGGGTTATTGCGAGAACTGAACGGAAAAGGTAAAGTGTATGTAGCACAACAGAGGGGAATATATCTGAGAATTAATTAACTTCTGTTTCTTTAAGGACAGCTGCAATGAAAATGCAGTTGGTTCTCAAATATGAATGCATAGTTTATCAGATCAGCATTTTGAGGAGGTATTGTGTGCCAGTGGACTGGGTTGTGCAGATAAGATACCATTTCAGCATTCACGTAGCTCACCCTTGTGAATACTAATAGGATTTAATCTTATCAAGTCGACTTTCACTGCTGTCTTTTCTGTCCTATGCTCTCTTTATAGGAAGATAATCTTGGAGATCATCTGGAGTTGTCCTTTTAGGATTCACAGGATTTTAATGGCTAAATTAGAAGTCTAGTTCCTCTCTATCTCTTTTCCCCCACCCCTCTCCATTTTATAGAATGCTTTGGGAGCATTCCTGACCTACTTAAAGTCATACAGGTAATAGGTAGCAGAACAGGAACTAAGGTTCTGATTGCCCTTTCTTCCAGTGTTAGAGTGCTTTCTGGATGCCTGACCCGGTCAGCACAATGTCAGACACATAATTAATACTCAGAAGTTGTAGGGAATCTGGATTAAGGCACCTCTTCAAAAATAAGATAATTCCTATTTAAATTGTTGATGAACAATCGTTTTATGAATGTGGATTTTAGTCCCTTCTTGCTGCTTAAAAGGGGCTTGATTGGGGAGGCCCTCATAGGAATCATTTGAAAAATAAGTCTTAATAAATTATTATGTGCCAGGCACTGTTAAAATCTGACTGATATTTTCAATTTGTGGGTGAGGAAACAGAAGAGAGGCTGTGTAACTTGCTTAAAGTCACATGGCAAGTTGAGGAGGTAGGATTGGAACCAAAGCAACCTACTATTGTCTTCTGCCTCCTATTTTATTGTGTTAAAACCTAATATTTGCAGATTACTTGATAACCAGCCATTTTCGAGGCTACTTTTAGTCTTCTAATATAATTGTGCAGAGTGATAAGAATAGTTTGTTTTATTCTGTTTTATACTCGTATGTAGGAAAATGGAGTGAAAGTATTCAAATAATCCATAGGGCTGTGGTTAGCTGCTTTTCTGCCTGGACCATCTGTCTTCTCACCTTCAGAGTTCTCAAAGCTAGCAACTGGTGATTCTTTCGGGAAAAGAAACGATTTGAAATTTCATTGATAATCACCATAGTTAAATATAATGACTTTTTGAAAAGTTGGACACTTTTATTGAAGTGTATCTCTTCAGATAATGCAAGAAAACTTTAAAGCAATCTCTTTAAGTTCAACCAAATCCTTTATGAATCTTGTGCTGTTACCGTATGTGTGTTTATTTTTGTTCATCATACTTTGAAGAGGAAGTACCAGAATGCCTGATTTCAAACCTTAGACTGTCATTATTATTAAACGGTAACTTATGATCTTAACAGCACAGCATTGATGAAAACTCCAATTTATGTAGGTTGACATTACCATCACCTACACAATCCAAGGCCCTGGTTCCTTGAAATTTAATTTGTAGGTCTTCACTATCAGTCACCTGTAAAACCATCCATTTCACTTCCAACTCTTAAAACTGTGAAGCTTTTTCACAAAATAAATCCAATGTGCTTTTAATGACTTAAAAATGATGAATTAGTAAAGTTGATAGCAAAACATTTTTCTTATTCTTCTTCTATCCAGAGTTACTTAGTTTTTGTTGAATTCTAATCATTGTTCTGGACATTGATAAAGCAAGCAAAATTGTATTAGATCATCTGAAATTTAATACTTTATAAAAGACACCTGTAATTCTTATGTTACTGTGGTATTTGTTTTCTGGGTATGGAGTTGATTAACTGGGGAGAGGCTTCGCAACTAGAACTAATCTATATGTAAACAAAATATCATCAGTTGGGGATCAAATTTTTTTTCTCTCAGACCATTTAGTGAAAGTGTGAAATAGTGAATTAATTGGTATAAAGGAATTAGGAATAAGCTGTATTCATGACTATGAGATGAAGCTTTATATTTCCATGTATACTAAAGCATATCTGTTTTGAAAATCTGCCCCAAATGTATACTAATTTCCTATGATTTGTCTTTCTTTTGTGGCAAACTGAGTATTGTCTGTTGATTTGAATTCCATAAAAAGGATATAATAGGAAAATAAAGCTTTCTATATTTCTAAAGAAATGCTGTGGAATGTAAATCCAGACTAACGAAATATCTTTTAAGTGAAGAATAGTGTGAATACCTACAACATGTGCATATTTATAGAACCTATAAATGGCTGGTCATGAGACTCAAGTTCTTGGCACAAGTGTTTGGATTCCTGCAGAGTCGAATATTCTGTTTGGAAATGGGTCACACTGCAGATTTTGAAAATGAGTGCAATTGTTCCTGACTCCTTAAAAATATATTTCTCTGACCTTTCAGCTCCCTCCACCTTCTCTGCTGCTGTCACAAGCCAAACTTTGGTTGAGGAAAATAGTAAAACTATTTTAGCCATCTACATTCCTTTTCCACTCCCCAAAACTAACTTTAGGACACTTGCTTCAGGATTTATATGAACCTCTCAGTAAAGTGGACAAAAGCTGTAAAACTAAATATTTATGTATGTTTTGGGGAAAACTTCTATATTTGGATTCCTACTCTGTAATATTTATAAAGTGATTTGAAGACAAAAATGCCTGATAGAAGCTAAAAGTGAATGCCAGTGTTTGTTAATAATACTAGTATCACAGCGATTTTTCTCTTTTTGCAGAAAATCTTTATTTGCTGAAAATCTTTAGGTGGTGAGGCAGCACCTTTACAAAACTATCAAATTACCGGGATTCCATTTTTGATAGAATGACATTTTGACAGTATACCCTTTTATTTTAATCTGAATCTTTCATCAAGTAAGCTTTTGGGATTAAATAAAATCCTGAGCTAATCTTTTCAGCAAGTATACAAAAAGTAATCATCTGCTGAATTTGCATGTTTTGTAAAGACCTGAACCTCTTGGTGGATCTTGTGTGATTTTTTGGGTGGCTAATTATTAAATTTCTTCTTACCCTTGGTTTTAAATGTATAAGGCGAGAGTGCTTCTTTGGCTTTTGTGGGATATTCCCAGTAATAAAGTTACTGGATGAAAGGATAAACAGATTTGTTATTTCAGGTAGATATTTCCCGATTACTCTCTGTATTAGTTTCTGTTGCTTATAATAGAATGCCTGAAACTGGGTAATGTATAAAGAAATTTATTTCTTACAGTTTTCGAGGCTGGGAAGTTCAAGGTTCAGGGAACACATCTGTTAAAGGCTGCCTTCTTGATGGTGACTCTCTTTAGGGACGCAGGGTGTCAGATGGTGAGAATGGGTTGAGCAAGAGAGAGCTAACTTTCTGATTTGCCCTCCTAATAAAGCCATCAGAACCATGTCGATTACTCCATGAATAGATCAGTCCATTCACAAAGGCACAGTCCTCACAGTTTACTCACCTGCTAAAGGCACCACCTTTCAAATACCATAATTAGATTTCCCACCCTCTTCACACTGTTACAGTGAGGGTGAAGCTTCAGTAAGTTTTAGGGGAACATTCAATCCATAGCACCTCCACAGGCAGGGTACATCTACCAGAGTTCTCTTATTCCCCTGGATCTTCTCCAGGCACTGGGCATGGTAAGGTAATATGATCTGTGGTTGTGCCTTTAAGGAACTGGAGCCAGTATAGACACACAACTGAAAAGTCAATCAGCACACAGATGAGGACTTACGCCGGTAGTGCCAGGTAACATGGGAGCACAGAGTTGGAGTATTTGAATGGAGTAGGTAAATGGGGAGTGGTATCAGGGAGGGAAGACTGCCTAAAAGAGTCCCACTTGTGTTGGGTCTTAAAGGATGAGAACATACTAGCCAAGTCCAGCAATCTGTGTTGTAATAGATTCTGATGCTCACTCAAGTTTGAGAGAACCATCGCTGTAGGTAGAGGTTAGCAAAAAACTGGTTTTGTAAACAAGGGGCAAGATTCCAGGTGCAGACATCCAAGTTTGTAATTCCGACTTTAAGTTCTAATGGAGTTTTTTCCTGGATCTGGGTGAATCAATCCCTTGTGGGATTTCTATGATTATGATTATGATTATTTTGAACTAGTGCTTCATTGAAAAACAAAGGAATGGTTCTCCTCCATAGTAATCAGGGAATATAAATTAAAATAAAAATGAGATGATCTGTTCATGTAGCAGACTGGTACAGATTGAAAACCCTTCATTACTGAGTGTTGGTGAGGAACGGTACACCACACTCCAGGGTTGGCATCGTCTAGTAAATATTTGCATACCCTGTGGTCCAGCAATTCTCGTACTTAGGCATATATCCCTAGGCATGGGTCAGTAAACATTTAATTAAAGCTCAAAAAAGTTTCAACTGAATTCTTTTTGATTCTACTTTTCATGTTTTTTGATGGTTGCTTTTATTGTAGGTCTACCCTGTCATCTGGTCTTGCCCATGTACCTTCCCCCGCCCTCTTCCTTCTCCAGTCTCAGTTGCTGCAGTTACTGTATGGCAATGTTTCCACTTTACCTTTCTGATTGCTTCAAGATCATTTCGGTTTGTTTTGGTTTTTTAATTCCTGAAAGTATACTACCCAAACCTCAGTTCAACATGCAGTTAGTCTGCAAGATAGTTTCTGGTATTGCAGAACGTAACTGCTTAAGGATGTGCCGGAGGGAGGAGAAGGCAGGGGATTCTGAAGGCTTGTGCTCGTCTTTGCCCTGTGTTCAGATTCCCTTTCACTTGCTCAGTCAGTCCACCAGTAAGAGGGCTAACTTTCACGTTTTGGTCTACTACCTGTGAAAGTAGTTTTCATCAATAATTATTTTAACAAGATTATTTAACAAAAATAGTGTATACATATAAATTTTGTATAGGATTTCCGACCCGTAATTCACATAAGATTGATTCTTGATCTATACGTTTTAATTTGGGGCAGTTTGAAATTCTTAGCTCATCATTAAACAATTGCAAATATTGGTTTAGACTAAATTGCATTTTTACAGATTAGATTATGAAGTATGTTACAAGATTTATATGTTATCTTAATGAATATTATCACTGATTTTTTTCTCCTCAAAAATAACATAATTTGGTAATAAAAATTTCCCCCCTCTTTCTATTTTAGTGGAGAAACAAGATTTAACAAGGAGAAAATACTTCAAGGTTGGTATAATCTGTTATTTCAGCTCTCTCCTTTGGTGTTAGTTGATAGGTGAGTTAATCAGATTTGGTGGTGTAGAGTGGACCGGGGTCAGCGCTGTGTTGTGAATTGGGATTATAGAATTAAAGGATCATAGCCACAGAAATATGACCAGAGTAGCTGGTAACCTAGAGGAGTAAATCTCTTAATTAAACTGGATGTAAAGAACAGTTCTCCACGTTGTTCTTTATGTGTAGCTTCAGAGTTGCCCAGTCAGCTGATTAGAGAGTTATGTTAGGTCTAGGTGTCTTTAAATGTAATTGTCTGGATTTAAAATGATATATCATATTTGGAAACATGAAGTTTACTGACTGGTGTTAATGGTATTTTTCTGCTAGGATAGTTATTTTAATTTTAGTAGTAACAAAGAAGAGGTTTAAAACAAGAACATGTGTTTGTTACTTTACTCTGAAGAGGTTTTTCTTCCCTCATTCTGTTAGTTTGGACTCTGATCTTTTAATTGTACTGTGATCCAGCTAGTCTGGCTGTTTAAGAATATCTTGGGTGGGCTGGCCTGTGGCTCACTCGGGAGAGTGCGGTGCTGATAACACCAAGGCCACGGGTTCGGATCCTATATAGGGATGGCCGGTTAGCTCACTTGGGAGAGCGTGGTGCTGACAACACCAAGCCAGGGGTTGAGATCCCCTTACCGGTCATCTTTAAAAAAAAAAAAAAATATATATATATA